ACAATCTACTTGTAATCTTGAGTTTTAAGTAATATGCATTAATAAACAATAATTTACGCATAAAAAGTAGTTTTTAAGAGTTTTTGTCAAATGCTTTATAATATAGTATAGATTTTTTTTATAATTTCATTTACGTTTAATAATGAAATAATTTATTTTTGGTCTAATAATATAACATTTTATAAAGATAATAATTAAGTATTCTGTTAGAACTCAATGGTTATTCTAATTACATTTTAGATTTTTTATATTTAAAATGAGATGTTTATCATGTATTTGATTGTATTTATCTGCAGTTAGTTACACGAATTCAGATATGGAGCTTTAATAAGTTGTACCTACGCACAATTACTTGTAATCTTGAGTTTTAAGTAATATACATTAATAAACAGTATTTTACGCATAAAAAATGGTTTTTAAGAGTTTTTATCAAATGATTTATAATATAGAATATATTTTTTATATACAAGTTATTTTTGATTTAATATTATAAATTTTATAAAGATAATAATTAAGTATTCTGTTAGAATTTAATGATTATACTAATTATATTTTATATTTTTTATATTTAAAATGAGATGTTTATCATGTATTTGATTGTGTTTGTCTGCAGTTAGTTACACGAATTCAGATATGAGATGAAATCGGATAGAGATGAAGGGGTTAAGAGTTTTAAGAGTTTTAAGAGTTTTTAAGAGTTTTAAGAGTTTTTAAGAATTTTTAATAGTTTTAGCCAAATGCTTTATAAGATAGTATAGATATTCAGACAACATTTTTACTATATTATATAATACTATTTACAATTTATTATTATATATGTATAATTTATGAATACATTAAACTTTATAAAATTAATTATTAATCAACTGATAAACATATTCAAATACAAGATAATCGTTGAGCCTCATTAATACAGTAAAACATTCCATACAATTGATAGCCAGCAGAAGACTTTCTTGTACTCTCAAAATCACACTAATTATCAATAAAATAAAATCGACAAAGACGAAATAGACATATCATGGTGCATCGTATGAGTACACTTTTACTACTTTCAAAATTGTCTTATTATAACATGGTCATATGTTACTACAGTATTGTACATTGAATTTTATTTTTTATTAAGACAATATTACATGCATTAAGATCAAACATATTTACAAAAAATCATCGTTTCATGAATTAAATATATTCACAAAACTATTTGACCCGCAAATTAAAAATGTTCGTCTGATATATCCACTAATCCAAAACTAAACATGTTTACGTAACCATTTAATTAATGAATGTAAAAACTAAATAATTAAACAGAACATAATTTTCGGAAAGAAAAAAAAAAAGAACTCGTCCTTCCACTAGAGGTGGATTTAAGGACAAAGGCCCTATCAAATCCATGAGCCGCACAAGATTAAACACAAAAAGTCAATAACAAAACGTAATTGTCAACAGATCACTGATGAAGACGAAATTGAACACGGAAAATCAGAGAAAAAAACCATACGTCGCTAAATTAATCTGTGGGTGGAATAAAAACTTATCGACAACTCATGAACGATATCAAAAGAATTTGTAATTGAACTCGTTATCAGATTCAAGACTTCAAAAAAAATCCTCACCTAAAACCTTTTAAGTGTATTTTTCTAATAAAGAAAGTGAAAGAGGAATAATTAAGATTATAATTTGAGAAAACAATAAACGATTATATAAGATCAAAAAATTACGAAAAAAATAATAATAAGATTATCAGGTAACAACTTTAAAAGGAAACCGTTTATTTATTTGTTACTAGAAGGGTACTCGTGCAATCCATCGAGATATATCTTGATTTCAATATTTCATTTTATGCTTATTTTATGTCGATATGATACGGTTTTATGTGGTTTTGAGAAAACAATAATGTTTTTATTTTTGAATAAAATATAAATTTGAAAATATTATAAAATTTTGAAAAAATATATATATCGATATCAATATCAAATTAACCTTTTAAAAGTTCTTGTGTTTTGGTGTAATTTCCTTAATTCAATTTTTTTAATTATAATTTAATTTAAGTTTAGTAACAAAGAAATTTAATTTAGGTTTAATAATATAATTTTTTTATAAAGATAATAACTAAAATATTTTGTTAGAAATAAATGATTATCCTAATTATAATTTAGATTTTTTATATTTAAAATGAGATGTTTATCCAATATTTAATTATGTTTATCTGCAGTTAGTTACATAAATTCAAATATGAAGCTTTAATAAGTTGTACTTATGCACAATTTACTTGTAATTTTAAAATTTTAAGTAACATGTATCAATAAACAGTACTTCATGCATAAAAAATGATTTTTAAGAGTTTTTGTCAAATGCTTTATAATATAGTATAGATAATGGATAAATTTTTTAAATGTATAATGTTTTAATAAAAAAAAATTATTGTAATAAAAATTAACCACAAGAGTGATGCCCGATTGATTTGAGCTTGACTCCAAAAGTCAAAAGTACCAGGAGATCCAAGATTCAAATCCAATAAGAAATAAAAATCCTCTTGTAAGCATGCATGTTCAAATGCGGTGACTCCAGATCTGCAAAGCAAGTGGTCGTCATGAGATTAGTCGGCTCGCATAACAGGTTGAATATCCAGGTTAATAAACAAAATATTATATATATTTTTTAAAATAAGAATACATCATTAATTATTGCATTTGACATTTATTTTTATTCATATTTGTTGTTTTTCTCTTTTATTATTCAATTTGCAATAAACTAAATAAATATGTATGAATGCAATAATTTATATGCGCATTTATAATTATGCCTTCTTTTAATATTATTTAATTTCATATTTTAATAAATAATTATTCGAGCTCATCAAAACAATGATTTAGAAACAAAAGGAAAAAACAAACCTCCATAAATTCACCAACACAAGATTTGTCTTCTGTCACGTTTTACAAATTTTATTTTATATACATTTTTAATAACTCATTAATTTATTATTAATTTAGAGTCACTTGATGATTAATTTAAAATATCTGAATATAAGAACATCTTTAACAAGTATGTTATATTTTTGTTTTCTATTTTTCTAATTTGGAGATTTTTTGTTCTCCCTAATTTTTTTTTTGATTAACCTGAATATCTAATTCCGCTATACAAGCCGACTAATCACAGAACGACCACCTGCTTCGCAGATAGCTCGAAGTCATAGTATTTGAACCTCCATGGCCACAAGAGGATTTTTATTACTTCTTGGATTTGAACTTGGGACCTCATGATACTTTTGACCTTTTGAGTCAAACTCAAACCAATCAGACATCACCCATGTGGTTCTTTCTAATTTGTTTCCCTCTATTTTAGATGAGAGTTTAACATCGCTATTGAAATAATTTTTCTTAAATCTTTGAAAAATTATCATAGCTCAGAAAGATGCTTTAAGTATAATATCATTGATTTATATATCTTTATAAAAATATTATATCATCGTGATTTCAAATTAATTAATGTGAAATTGGTACGTACTAACCAACTATAAAAAATATCATTCATGAAATAATAGTCCAAAACCCAAACTCATATTTTACGGGCATACATACGCGGTGTTCTAAAAGACTTGTTAATTGTTATGGTAGTTGTCATGGTGTGCCGAGACTCGGTCTATCATTGATATCATGTTAAGCTTGTGGTATATCATGACCCTATACACGCTTTTGTAAGATGTTTTATTTGATTCTTTTTACCTTTTTAATTTTATAAATATTAATTTTTAATATATTACTTAATTTAAATTGTTTAATACCGTTGACTCATTTAGTAATCGTAAAAAACATATGTATATGATATATAATTGTGGGCGAAGGATAGTGTGAGAAATATATTTATCGTGAAAAATGTAAGAAAATATTTGAACCTTTGATCATTTTGAATCTCATGTATACCCATGAATTGAGCTTTAGAAGAGAATTGATCGGATGCATATTGTTGCATCTCATAAATCATGTCTCCAGATTCAAAAATTCATTAAAACAAAGAATTTAAATACAAAGAAATGTATTAAAAAAAATTCCATAAAAAAATGCGGACAAAAATATATAAAAAATAAATTGTAAATCAAATTATTTTAAGTATATATAACTGGAACAAAATGTCCAAAAACAACGGCATCTCGTTTGTCTCAATTATGGCCATGGACTAGGAGATAGGGCACAGGTGGACACCCATAATTACACGTAAATTCACCTATAACCAAAATGACAAAATTAAATAATAATAAATTTGTATCCATCGTCATCATCGCCGGCTTACCGACAACTGCTCGCCTGACCGCCGGCCACCAATCAGCTCCGGCGGACTGAACCGGTATCATATCAAGCAACTACCTTTGTTACTCGACTCGTCTGAACAAGATTTGAGAAAGCAGCCTTCACACTCCTCCAAACCCCAGCCTTCCTACCTTGAACCCTAACCGACCCAACTCGGCCGACACATGAAACCTTAGGAGAAACCGGATCGTTTATCAGCAAACAGTAGTCTCTCCCCGGTTCAGACCGGTTCCTGAACAAACGAACGTTTTCTGCCCTATCGTTATGCTTGGACTTCGCTTCATTATGATGGATCGGTTTTTTTCTGAACCCGATAATGGAAAGTTTTGGTCTTTGGTTTAAAGAGATTGCACGATTGGCCGACCGGGTTTGAGTTGGATCCAGGTTTTTGGTGATGGCGAACTTCACAGAGGTTTTCCGCTCGATGAATGTTGTATGATGGTTCAGCCAGTCCGCCACTTTGGCTTGGCAGACGGAAAACGACTCCGGTGGGTTGTTTTCCATCAGGTGAAGTGGGTCTAGTTCATAATTCAAGTTGTTTTTGCCATTGCTGTCGTTGTCATCTTCATCAAGATCACCATCATCATCATCACCACCATGATCAAGATCAAGATCAACTGGTTCATTCTTTAAGATGTTTTGATCAAGATCAACTGGTTGATCATTCTTTAAGATGTTTTGGTCATTGCTGTTGTTGTGGTCCAGCTGATCAAGATCAAGATTAATGTCGCCATGATCAAGATCTTGATGATGATCCATGGAAGTGGTGGTTAATCAAAATGCTGAAATTGGGTTTGTGGAGGAGGAAGGGGGGAAGAGTTGAATGTATTTATGTATGATTGAATGGGATGATGATGATGATGATGATGATGATGATGATGATGATGATGATGATGATATATCCTGGAAGTTTCAAAGGAAGATATATGGTCAAGTTCACATATAGACCGTGGTTTAAATATGGGTGTTATATTAATTGTTATTACGTTTGCAATGAACAGTGCCATTGAATTCCGTATATACCAACTTAAATATATTAATTACATGGACTTGACTTTATCACACCCGTAATAAATTGTTGTGTTTGAACGTCGAACCCTTTTATTGAATGATTTAATAGGATTTAGCGGGGTTAAAACCATGCGATACGAGAATCGCTTGTCTAGCGGCGACGGTATTTTTTCAAAAATGTTTATAAAACTGTGTTAAAAACTTATTTCAAGAAGTATCTTATAAAAAGCTAATGATATTGTAATTATACGTGTCCAACTTTAATTGGTTTAATAATTTATTGTTTCATACAGGAATATATGCATGGAAAAGAGAGAAGTAGTTAAAGTAATTTGTTTTTTTTCAAAGATTTTGTGCTTAGTCAATTTAGTTAGAATCATGGAAGTTAATGGTTTTGTAACAGTCGGCATTGATGCAAATGAATTAAGACAAAAAAACAAAATTATCGATATATTTTCAATATTAATTGCATGATGAGATATGAACATAAAGTAATAATGGTTTATGATTGGTCTAAATGGTTTGTATAGTTAATATTTTTTTGACAACTTTATCCTTGTTAAATTGTTTGAGCAAAAAAATTGGTGAAGTTTTCCAATAAGGTCTTGAGTTTAAATCTAACTTTGTCCCAACTTAAAGTGGAATTTCTACGGTAAGGTCCTGGGTTTGATCAAATCTAGCTATGTCCATCTTTCTCTTGGATGCCGTGATTTGCATCACTCATAATGACATTGAGACCTATATAATACGGTCAGGGTGGACCTACTAAGTACCGAGCAGGGTCTCATGCATCCATTCACTTGATTATCGCAGGAAAAAAAATTAGACGCGTTGATAATGCACCAACTTGATTTCAAGGCTGCATTGAAATATTTTAAGATCAACCCTTTGACACGATTCTAGACTTGGTGGGATAGTCTAAGTTGGCTAAACTAAAATCTTTGCTTGCAACAAATATCTAATTTTTTGGTTTTTGCTTGCAACAAATATCTAATTTTTTGGTTTAAAACAGTGGAAACCCAATAATATTCGGTTCTTATCCTAATCTCTTTCAATCTTAAATCACTTTCACAAACTCACAAATCAAATTGAATAACACATTAAATACTTTATTAATTTCATCTTCATTTCTAAATTTGTTTCCATTTTTTATTGATTAATTGTGTCTTCTTGTAAATTATCAAGTTCTTGATCATTAAATCACAAGGGTGGTGTCTGGTTGGTTTGAGCTTGACTTCAAATGTCAAAAGTACCAGGAGGTCTCAAGTTCAAATCCAATGAGGAATAAAAATCATCTCGTGGCCACAGAGGTTCAAATGCGGTGACTCCGGACTATTTGCAAAGCAGGTGGTCGCTCTAGGATTAGTCGGCTCGTATAATGAGTTGGATATCCAGGTTAATAAAAAAAAGTTCTTGATCATTAATTAACCTTTTCTAAAAATATAAGTTTTCATTTTCTCTAGTTTGTTTGTATATTACGTATTAATCAATATTCGATTGATTGGTCTGAGGTTATCGACAAAAAAAAGATTTTTGTAGTTTGTTTTTACTTACTAATTTATTTAATGTTACTCAAAATCTTATATGCATATTTTATTTTAATTTGCGAAACATCTTAATTGATCATGAGGTAATTCCGATGTTCACGGTGTTCATGGTGTTCATATCCATGTAATGTCCATGAACATTCACCGTATTCATATAAATGTTCACCGTGTTCATGCGATATTTTTACAAAAGTACCCTCTGAACCGTTGTTCATAGGCATCTCAATTAATATATTAATTAAATGATTATTTTTATAGTCTCATTTAATAAGGACCGTTTGATGAGAAAATGAACGATCAAGATCGGGTTAACATAGTTTGCACAATAATTT